TTCACCTAAAACTAGTTAATAAATTTTCATCCTGTATGGTCAGTTTATAGACTATGAGTGTAGTGATTATTTCTTGTTCACATTCTCCTCTGCGTGCCTTGGCAACAGATGGAACCACCCTTCCATGCAAGGTCACATTAAGATTATCATTTCTCCCAGAGAAAGAACAGAGAATACTGCAGTGCTTCTGTGTTCTTAGTATAAAAAATCATTTTTTATCTAGGCTAGTACTTGGAAAATACAAGGAAATACTACATTATAATATATGAAAAATATAATTTCCTTAGAAGAACATTTTAACTTGAGAAAAATTTCGTATGTTGATGAATACATATTCCATATTCAAGTGCAAATGTTTCTTCCCAAGGAATACTTGGGTAAATATAAAATGAAAATAAAAAAGAACAGGCAATTGATTCAGGGTATCAGCCACTATTCATAAAATTCACATGGAGGTAAAATGTAGAGGATGTGATGACATATTTTATGTTTTCTAAAATAAAAAGCAGTGGAAAAATGTGTAGAGCAAAGTTTCTGGAGTTATCTCTGTCAAATCATCAATAAATGTAATTTTGAACCAAGGGGCTAAAATAATCTTGTAGAAATCTAACATGGTTTTAATTTTTAAATTTTCTTGATATGTTTTATAGTGAACAATGTAGTTTAATGTATAGGGTTATTAAGAAGCGATTATTGATACCCCAAAGAAAAAGTAACAAAAATAGATTTTTTTTTACTATTTTACTGAAGGAAGGCTCAGCAGGTGAAGTCACTAACAAGCAAGATGAGTATTCTTAGTTCAAGTCTACATCACACAGATGCAACAGCACACACATGTAAATAATTAATAAAAATAATTTTAAAGATAGAGTCCCATGCTCGAGTACATGGCCCCATATCCAAGAATATATGGGCGGCATTAAGTACACTTGTTGAAACACACACACACACACACACACACACACACACACACCATGAAGTGAAGTTGAGAATTGTTCATTCTGTGTGGACATGAGGGGAGCTGAGGAGAATGAAGGGAAAATGTGATAATATTTCGTTTTATACACATGTGTAAACCTCTGAAAAATAAAGTAAAACATTTTTATATACTCTCAAATTCCCTATGCCCAGTAACTAGTAGGGAAATCTTGTCGGGTTAAATGAAGACAAATCCAGATCAGCAAGTAGATCTATAGTCGTCCCAATCCCAGATGTCTATATGACAACATGAAAACACAACCAGTAATAACAAGAGTAGTATGTTTCCACTAGAGCACCTGAGTATTCCAACACAGCTGAAGACCAAGAAAAAAACCTTAAAACAGCCTTATGAATATAGTAGGGGCCATGATATGGGAAATGAATAAATCCTTCAATGAAACCCAGGAAAATACAAACAGTGGAAGGTAAAGAATAAAACTTTTCATGACCAGAAATTGGAAGTAGAATCAATAAAGTAACATCAAATGGAAGGAATTCTGAAATAAAAACTTATAGACTTCCAAATGAAACTGTAGTGGCAACCTTTGCAAACATAATACAAGAAATAGAAGAGAGAATCTCAGGTGTGGAAGACAATGGAAGAAACTGATACACAGGCCAAAGTAAATGATAAATCTAAAATAATTATTAACAAAAAGTTTCCAGGAAATCTGGAATTTTTTAAATTTATTTATTTATTTATTAAAGATTTCTGTCTCTTCCCTGCCACCGCCTCCCATTTCCCTCCCCCTCCCCCAATCAAGTCCCCCTCCCTCAGGAAATCTGGAATATTATGAGAAGATGAAATCTAAAAAATATAAAGGAAGAAGAAGAAATCTAGCTGAAAGTCTAGCCAACTAAACCCAGAAAAACCTTCAATCACCATAGATGAAAAAATAAGATATCTCTTGAGAAAGCCAAATTAAACAACATTTATCTACAAATCCAGCTCTACAGAAAGTGTTAGTAGAAAAACTCCAATCTAAGGAGGTTAACTACACCATGGAAACACAGGGAATAAATTATCCCACACCAGAAAAAAACAAAGGGAAGCCTAAACACACACACACACACACTCACACACAAACACACCACTACCACCACCACCACCATCAACAACAACAATAAATAGGAATTAACATGTATTGGCCATTGATATCGCTCAATATCAACAACCTCAATTCCCCAATAATGATAAAAGACTAAGAGAATGAATGTGAAAACAGGATCTGTCCTTCTGCTAAATGCGACAAACATACCTCAACAACAAATATAGACATTACCTTGGGGAACAGATTGGAAAAAGGATATTCCAAGCAAATGGACCTAAGAAACAAGCTCATGTGGCCATTTTAATATCTAATAAAACATACTTCAAACCAAAATTATTAAGAGATGGGGAAAGACACTATCTATTGATCAAATAAAATATTCAAGAAGGATGACATTTGAATTCTTAATATATATGCTGCAAACACATGAGCATCCATGTTTCTAAAAGAAACACAACTACAGTTTAAATTGTATATTGACCATCATACCTTGATAGCATAATAGAGTGGACCCTCTTGTCAGGGACACAGGTGAGCAAGCCTGAAGGCATGAAAGCCAGAAAACGGATCCTACTATCTATCCACTCACACTCCCCTTAAGTATCAGTAGAGACAGCGCAATGCCTTGCATGGACAATAGAGATGTCACTGGTGACATAAATGAGGAGCATCTGATTTTGAGGTCGCAAGAGCAGGGGGGCTGGCCCCACTACTTGCTGGAAATGGCATTGGGTGATCTAGCCATGGCAGTGCTGGAGAGCTTGCCCAGGTAGTGACAGTGAGAGAAAGCTACAGAGCTGACCAACCCAGCTTACCACCCAGCCTCATAACTAGAATTAAGGATTGGCCCGCCCCAATTTCCACTACATCTATGAAGTGTTGGAGCCTGTGAAGATGGGAGGACCTTACAGATCCAAAACTGCGGGATCCTCACGACACGGGACAACAAGTTAACTGAGGTGAGCCCCCAATGAGATGCCCTTATTACTGGTGTAGCAGAAACCAGATGCCTCAAGTCAGACTAATGACATGTGACAAGTGAACATTTGCAAGTACAGATGAATGAACTAAAGGATAAACTATGTGAATCAACAGGCCACAATGCAACTTCCACAACTAGATTCTTCTTTTTTTTTTTCTGTTGTTGCTTTTGTTTTAATTTTTGTTTTGTTATTTTCTTCTTTGTTTTAAATTTGGCTTTGATTTTGATGGAGGTGGCAAAAGAAGAGGATAGATATGAGGAGATGGATAGATAAATGGTATTGGAAATTATAGTGTGAAATCCAGAAAAGAATCTGTAAAAGAAAAAAAAATGATCCTATTGAAGGATGGGTTAGAGATATACACAGAATTCTCTATAAAGGAAATGAAAAAGGCTGAAAACACTTAAAGACATATTCAACATCATTAGCCATCAGAGAATTCCAAATCAAAGCTACTTTGAGAATCAGTCTTATACCTGTCATAATGACTAAGATCAATAACACACATGCTGTAGGATGTGGAATAAAGGAATCACAAAGCCACTGTTGGTGGGAGTGCAAACTTCTACAACCATATGAAAACCAAAATGGCAGTTCCTTAGAAAAGTGGGAATAAATCTCACATGATCCAGTTTTAATACCTTGAGCATCGTCCTATAGAATGATTCACCATACCACAAGGACACTTACTTAACAATGCTCTTTGTGACTTTATACATAATAGCCAAGAATTGGAAACAGCCTAGATTTCCCTCAACTGAAGAATCAGTAATGAAGATGTGGTACATTTACACAATGGAGGAAAACTCATTCGGCTGTTAAAAAAAATAGCAACACAAAATTTTTAGACAAATGAATGGTACTAGAAGAAATCATCCTGAGTGAGATAACCCAGACCTAGAAATAAAAATATGGTATGCTTTCTCATATATGTGGATATTAACCATTGAATAAATGTTAACCAGCCTACAATCTGTAGACCCGCAGTGGGTATGTTAGTTAAAATTTATGTTGCTGTGAAGAGACACTGTGACCATGACAACTCCTATACAGAAAAACACATAATTGGGGATGGCTTACGATTAAGATGTTTAGTCCACTATGATCATGGTAGGAAGCATAGTGACATACAGGCAAACAGGTTACTGGAGAGATAGCAGAGAGTTCTACATCTGATCAGCAGGCAGCATGGGGGGGGGGCTGGTTTAAGCATCTGAAACCTCAAAGCCTACCCCCAGTGACACACTCCCTCCGACAATGCCACACTGACCCCAACAATGCCACATCTCCTAATAGTGCTACTCCTTATGAGTCTATAGGGGGGCCATTTACATTCAAACCACCACAGAGGTTATGTATCCAGGAAGGAGCTGGGGTGGGGGTATGTGTGGATCTCCCTGGGAAGGGAAAATAGAACAGATTTTGTCCAGCAGACAGGGTGCCAGTGGGGATGTGAAAGTGAGGATCAAGTGGAAAAGAATGGAGAACACATTGAGTTGAGGAATGCAAGAAGGTACAGATGGATTTGTGGGGCATTTGAGAGATGATATCGAAAATCCATAGGGCAGTAGAAATTCTTGGACCTATAATCAATCCTATCTGCAACATATGGTAAGGCAATGATGGCACAGAAATATGGGAATAGCCAACCAACATCTGATTTGACTTAAAGCCCACTCCATGAAACAGAACTCATACCTGACACTGCTTGACTAGACAGAATAGACAGCCTAGAGACCAAGGGTTAAAAACAAACCCTACTTGTTTTAATATAAAAATCTATAAATAAAATGAACTCACAGAAACATTCTGCTATATATAAATATCTGTGTCTTATTCAGTCAATATCAGAGAAACTTCTTCCTACAGCAGAAGGGAACAGATACACAGACCCACAAACGAACATCCAGACATTAAAGAGTGGGGGGAATTCTTGGAATAGACAACTCTAAATTGGATGTCTCCAAATCCCTTCTTTAAGAGCTCAAGAACCTAGAGAAACAGGAACAGAAAGAGTATAAGAGCCAGAGAAGATGGAGGACACCAGAAACAAAAATGGTCCTCTGTATCAACAAAGTTCATAAGCACTCACAGAGACCAAAGCAGGAAGCACATGTTCTACAATTGACTCCACCAGGTCTTCCCTATTTATATTAAAGCTTTCAACATAATATTTTTATGGGGCTTAAGAGTGTATGATGAAATAGGTCTCTGATTCTGGTGCCTGCTCTTGGGTACTCTTTTCCTTCTGTTGGGTTGCTTTGTACAGCATTGGTATGATGGTTTTTCTTTTCTCTTATTACACTTTATTATGCCAGGTTTGGTTGCAACCTCTTAGAAGTCTTCTCTTTGCTAATGAGAGACAGAAATGGGGTGTATATCTGGAGGGGAGATGAGGTGGGAGGACCTGGGAGGAGTGTAGGGAGGGAAAACTATAGTCAGGATAGATTATAGAGAAAATAATCTAATTCCAAGAAAAGGGGAAAAGGTTGATAATATCTTCTATGAGTAGCTGGGAGGTGGTGGCGCACGCCTTTAATCCCAGCACTCGGGAGGCAGAGGCAGGTGGATCTCTGTGAGTTCGAGGCCAGCCTGGTCTACAAGAGCTAGTTTCAGGACTGGAACCAAAAAGCTACAGACTATCTTCTACGAGTTAAAAATGCATATATTTCATAATACCTTTAATAATTTAAACACAGTCTATATTATCCTCATAATAAATCTTGTGACATTACATTAAGCATATTTTAAGCATATTTTAAATGTAGATATTTACTACCATTTTAAAGGCTATCAAAATGATATTCCATTGACAAAGGGAAAGTATACAATTCTTACCCAAAGAAGAATCAGTTAGAAATCTCGACCACACTGTCAGCGCTACTTTTCACAACTCTATTAAAGATGAAAAGTGTAAGAATACTAATTAAGACTGTAGATAAATTAAAACCAAGACCTAAATGAAAAAGAAAGAATGGAGTGTAACTATAACTTTAACAAATGTTTTGAAAAAAATTATTTACTTGAAAAAAGATATAGTTTAAATTTTAAAATATTAATCTCCCAATTGCCAATATAATTACTATTATAAACTTACATCAAAATATTTAAAATGCTTACAAATTTTTTCATATTCATCAGATAGCTTACAAAGAGTAATGTTTAACATATTTATGAATTCTGCTAATTTGCAAACACATAAATAAATTATATTTTCAAAATTTAACCATCTATAGGAACAGAAGCCTTCTTAAACCTTCATGTAGCTATTTAAATATTAATTTATAGAAAACATAATTACTTTCATAGGTCTTATTTTTGTTCTAAAATTTGTAAAAATTATATTACATAAATGCAATTAAACTTAACAAGTAAATAACCCTGTTAATTAGAGTCAAAGGTTGTATCAAAATAATACTAGTAATCTAGCACAGTCATCTCACAAGTCAAGAAACATTAATAAATATTACCCATTTATGAAATACCTCATCTGTTTTAAGGGATATTTTCTTAATGATACATGTACTTGTGAAACAGATGTAACATTACAATAAAAAATATAAGTAGGGAATGGCTCTAATGTTCCTTTGGAAGCATAGAGTTTGAGAAAAAAATGAATTAAGAAAATATATCTAGTATTGTCTCCAAGAAGAGTATAGTGCTGGTAAGAAATTCATCTAATAACAGTAGAAAAATTCAGACAAGACATTGAAATGTCTATGTTTAATAGATAAAGAAATAAAACATTAACATGCAAAGCAAAGAATATCATGGCAGTAGCATGGAATCTGCCTTGAGTCCATTTTCATAGCAGATGGAATCAAGAAGTGAAAACCAAACTTTTATCCCAGAAGAACTTGTAACTGGAGCAGTGTGTTATAGTCTCACAAAGACTGAAATGGAATGATTGCATAGAACAAGGAGTGCAAAGAAATACGAAGACACGTGCAAACACTGAGAGGGCAGGATTTAAACAACAAAAGGGTAAGACTGTGCTGTGGGTCATATTAGCATTTTTTATTCAGAATCACAGTTGAACAAAAGGAAACTGAATGGAAAGAATTGGTGAGTTCATAGCCTGGTCAGGAAAGAGCAAGACCAAATGTTTGGAAGAAGAAAAGAGAAGTGGGGCCAAGCGAGCATTTGCTAATGAGATTAGTGTGACTAAACAGGAGTGGGTCATTGTCCATGAGAACAATGACAAAGGGTCTTGAGAACATTTCAGAACTCTTGGGAGACAAGTTTGCTTCTTCAGTGTCTAAGCGTCATAACTCTGATGGACTTGCTGTTTAGGGAAACTTTCTCTCCATGCTTCCAAGTGAGTACCACTAAATAGCCATAGCTAGACTTAAGTTCCAATGCTATGTTGAAAGCAGATCTTACTAATCTGTCCTCCATGTCCAGGGGAGTGAAATGCAAAAAGTAGTTTTGGTATCTTGATAGCTTCAATATTTTTTTTAAAACAAAGCCAGGGAGACTAGCCTGAAATCTGCTACAAGTTTGGAGCCCACATAGAACAGGCCTAATATGGCGATGCCAAGTTTAGCTTTGGAAATGGATGTCTACGGTAAACAATACACAGCCAGAGAAGACAGAAATACTAAGCAATATCAGAAAAAGTTGCAAATGAACTACAAAAAAGAGGTCAAAAGAGAAACTGTGGGTTCTATTGGATTTTCAAAATCACAAGCAAACTTTATATGAGGAGGCATTCTTCACTACAGTGTTCATGGGAGATCAGGTTTAAGATAAGATACTTGGATAAAGAGATGATTTGCATTCTGGGTAGGGCAAAAGAGCATTGCATATTTCCCCATAGTATTCAAAATGGCATATACTATAAAACGCAGGAATTGTGTGTTTTCTGTAATCCCTCTTTAATATCTTCAGGCCATATAGATGGTGGGCTGGCACTGGGACCATGACTGAAGCCCCATTAGTCCACTGTGGAAGTTTCTTCAACTTCATTAAAAGTATGAATTTCCATTGTGTCATGTAGCCTTTGAGTTTAGCCATGAATGATTAACATTCCTAGTGTCTCATTGTGTCTCTGTTAGAGGTGTATGATTTTTTTTACATATAAGTCATTAAGGTTCTTTATAATGTAATATTTTTATTAATTATTTGGGAATTTCACACATTTCATATATTTACCTCCCCTCTCATCTTCCTAACTCTTCCCAGAGAGTTAAGATGTAAGATGAAAAAAGATAGTTTGTTTTCTTTCTAAAAAGGAAAAATAAAATACATTTTTTAAAAAAAGGAAACAGAGGGGGAGTTGATCTTGGGGAGAGGGGAGGTTGGAGGAGGAACTCAGAGTAGTGGAGATAGGGGAAATTTTGGTAAGGTTGTAATACATGATAGAAAAATAAAAGTTAAAAAATAAAAAGATTCAAAAGTGAGGGGATTGTAAATTCCTCCTTCAAAGGTTCAGTTTGATCTTGCTTTGGTGTGTTATTTTCTATGTCTCCATCACTCCCTTTGGGAAAGTAATGTGTATAATGTGTGTTGTAGACTGGAAGTATGTAACTGTTCTTTTGACTTTATATAGGGTTACAGCTAAAGGATTGCCTTGAATCTCAAAGAGAATTTGGTCACTGAAACGGTGTTAAGACTGTTGAAGTGAATGAGGATGTTTAAAGGTAAACTAAAGGCATTTTATATGATGATGTAGCCATGGGCTTATTTATGAGAACCAGGGAGTAGAATGTAGTAGTTTGAATGAGAATGTCCCCATAGGCTCAGGGATTTGAACATTTGGTTTCTGGTGAATAGCAATGTTTTCAGAGGTGGAGCAGCCCCAATGGAAGAAATATTTCACTGGGGCAGGGAGGAAACTTGAGGGTTCATGTCTTTGTCTTGTACCCTGGTCACATTCTCTGTTTTGTGTTTATGAAACAAACACCTACTCTGTGCCCAAGGCAATGACACGTTGAAATACACTTGGAAGAAAGATATTAAGAAATTTTGTGAGATTTTCAGTAACTGAAAATTAACATAATATGTGACTTATATTACCATAAAAGGTGAAATTGTGAAGTTTAGTTTTCAGAAAGATTTTGATGATATTATTTACAACTCTAATAACTTTTATTCAAAGTTACACAGTATTTAATACTGTAAAACTGAAAAAATCATAGCAGAAATCAATTTGGTTGTATCATCGTATAACCAAAATCAGTTAACAAATTGAAATTATACTAATTAGCATTCACTCTTAAACAAAAACACAGAAATCTAGTGCATTTAGAATAAAACTGTAAGTATCTACATAAATTCTGTAGTACAGTTTATAAAATACATCCTAAACAATTGTATAACTCTTCAATTAGTATAGTATTTACTCATGATAATTATTTCCTTGTTATAAACAATTGAAAATTGTAAAAACAATTTTATCAACTAAAATTTACACAGTTCACATCACTTACATAATCCCATCATCATGTAAGTCAGTTTTGATTTATCGTAGATCCAACAACGTCCTCTGAATCCACATTCATTAATGCTCCAGTAAATGCAAGCTTCAGTTGATGTTTTTTTAAAAATCAGTGGTATAGGGACGGACGCTATGAAATAATGTTTATAAGTTCTTCAGAAAAACACTTTGACCAGGATTTGTATAATTTTTTTCTTAAAAAAAAAAACACACACACACAATTCCCTAGCCACATCATTTAAAATTCTGTAATAGTTTTTCATAAATTGGCTTATTAACCCTGGTAATCAATATACTGAACCCTAAATGTATAAAATTATCAGCAATTTGAAATGATTTTAGAATTGTCTACGTTGTTGTTTACAGGGTATCTTACAGCACGTGTTAAATTTGCATGGGATACTTAGGAGGAAATATTGAGAACAAAGGAAGTAAACTACATGACTTTGCTAATAGTACCTGGAAAAATACACAACTATGAGCATTTTAATGACTGAAGTTGACCTAATGTTTTCTAACTGTATTCAGTTATGTCTCTACAGTATTCTTCCCACACTCCCAGGAAGAGTCCAAGATTCTCCAGTGGATGAATGAAACTACCTATGGCACCAAACTGTACACACTCACACAAACATGCGCACATACACATTACTTCATGGTACAATGTGCTACTGTCGTGTAAAATAAAATACATTACCTATTCATGTCTTTTATTTTCATTTAGATTACAAACTGGTGAGATATCATAAATCTTCTATAATTCTTAGCTTTGGATTCATCCCCTATTTCTTCTCTCATCCATCTTATCCCAATTATCTTAAATATTACTACCCAGTATTCCTCTTCTGTCTTTTATATCGCATGAGTCTTATTAATTCCCTTTTATTATACTTGTCCTCAAATTGCAAGATCATTGCTCCCCATATAACTTCTTCATAAAGACTTCATTTTGTCTAATACTTTCTCACACTCATCTTCCTGCTGCTCCATCATTTCACTTCCTGTCTGAACCCTTCTCTTCCCGATATTCTCACTTTCTCCTTTCATCTCACCTATATTCTGCTATCTCTCCTTCCCAAATGCATCCTATCAAGCAATGAATCATTTCAAGTTTCCATGTGTATTTTACATTAAAATGGAAATGAATGGAAGCTATATTCACATGAGATGGGGCATTCTGAATTGTGTCTTATGACCTGGATAACATAACTTAGTATAATTTCTTTCAGTTTTATCCATTTGCCTGAAAGTTTCTCAATGTCACTTTTTCTTTTTAGAGGAGTAATATGTACATATGTAAACATGCATGCATGCATTCTCATTGCCCATTTACTAACTGAAGACCGTCCGAATTGACTCTATTCCTAGCTATAATGTTTATAAAATTAATGAGCATGAATATGCAAATATCTTTGTAATAGCATATACATTTCTTTGGTTATATGCCCAGGAGTGGTATATCTGAGTCATGTAGTAAGATCTAGTTCTGAGTTTGAACAGAGGTATGCCACTTTAGTAAATGTTCCTGCTCCCTGAAGACATGTATGTTAAATGAAAATATCAGTGCCAAGTAGAGTTTTCCTCTTCTTTGGGTATTGGTCATGGAGGATGGATGGCACCTGAAACAATACAGTCTAATGACAGTGATCATACTCCCACCATAACCCAATGATAAGACCCTATTACTTAAGACACCACACTCTGTGGTTATAAGACACAGAGAAAACAGGCCTAAATTCCTAGCTGGCTAACATTCACAATGCTGGAAGGCACTATGCAGCCTGATAGAGGAGAAAAAGAAGTTCTTACCTAGCTAACAGCAGACCCTGCTGCAGTGTCAACCTCCTATCTCACATTATTCTCTATTTTAAGTTTTTTAATACATATATAGGTAAATTTATGTATCAAAAATGAATGATTTGGTACATTGAAAATACAAACCAATGAATCTCCATATTGTAAAGGTCACTCCCATGCCCAGAGAATTTAAATGAGTAGGTACAACTCTGAAAGCAAACAGTAATGGTATTACTTATACATACACATATATAATATATATAGTGATATTACAGATCATCAGCTAGTTAACAGAAGTTCAATTTGAAATATAGACATAGTAAATCTTTCCATTTTCCTATTTCTTTATTCTTTTCTAGCTCTTCATTCTTCGAAAAAGAAGGAACTTCATGAACTAGATGCCCCTAAGCCTCCTTTTTTGAAATGATACCTGCTTCTCAATTCATCTTTCCTCATGCTACCAGGCCAAGGATTGTTTAGAATCCATTTCAACACTCCACATTTTTTCTAGTTTGCTGAGTGTTTTGGATTCTGTACTCCAAAAACTATATCAGCAATGTTACCTTGAAAGAAAAAGAAGGTTGAAGTCAAGTCTCCGTCTTCACGCTTCCTCCCCATAGTTACTCAGGGTGACTGAGTGTCACAGAAAGGTGTCCTCCTTACAGGTGTTTCTTTCTCACTCTTAGTCCCTTGTGTGCAAGGTGGCTACATACCACACCGTGCAATGGTGTTCCTTACATCCAACCTACATGTGGTTGCAACTTTATTCAGCTTTACTTACATAATCCTAGTTTCTGAGTGTTTTCTCTTTCCTATGTTACCTTATTATCATCACTACTCAAAATTTAAATAGATGACATCTAACTTTGCATCATTTTAAATAGATGGAATCCACCTGCAAGGATTCAAACAACTCTAATCCATTTAGCAAGTCACACATGGAGAGAAGGCACTAAAGAAGGGGCTTGTTGGGAAGAAGAAAAGATCATATTAAATGGTAAAAACAACCATAGTCCATTATATGTATTTTAGTATGAGAATGTTGAAAATAAGCAGGAAGATATATGTATTTCTTACTGATTAACTATTTTTGAAGAAGAAAAATCATGTATAGGTATATTATTCAGTCAGCATTTTGTCAAGAAATTTTACTGCTGTGGGACAGTGGTTTATATCCTATCAATTATATTTTAAATAAATGTTGATTGGCCAGTAGCCAGACAGGAAGTATAGGTGGGGAACCAGACAGGAAGTAGTGGCAGGTCAATGAGAACAGGAGAATTCTGGGAAGAGGAAAGCTCTCTCTGCAGTCCTGTCCAAAACACAAAAGAAGGAAGATATGACTGCCTCGCCAAGTAAGCTATGGAGCATGTTGCTAAAATAGATAAGGATAATGGGTTGATATAATTATAAGAGTTAATAAGAAGCCTGAGCTAATGAGCCAATCAGCTTATAGTTAATGTAGACCTCTGTGTGATTTCTTTGGGACTTAACAACTGCAGGAACCAGACAGGACAGAAAACCTCAGACAACAGAATGGTGTGCCATTGTTGGCCGACCAAATTTACTTGAAAGCCTGAAAGAGCTTGGGAAGTTATTCTAGATAAAAAAAAAGAAGAAGAAGAAGAGTTAAACATGGCTTCTTAATAGCAGCATTTTCTCAGGTGGGCTCTGTCTGCTAGAGGTAAATATGTCTCAGTTAAGAGAGGCTTCCTAACTCAGCTTTAGCTGCAAAATATTGCAGCCCCGTTAAAAGAGGCCTTGTCCATCAAACACTTAAAAGGCGTTTATGAATTGCCAAAAGCATGCTTCTTGGTGGTGGCAGGGACCTTGAAATGCCATAGAGTTGTGGCAATAAGCACAGCTCCATCTGGTACCTCTGCTTTGAGGCTAAACTTTCAGAAAGCTATGGAATGGACTGGACCCAATTGTCAAAGCCTCTTTGGATTGTTTGAATGCTGAGAAAGGAGCAACAGGTTTGATCAAGGAAGACCCATTGAGAAATGCCCAATTGTAGCAGATGACCCAGATGTATGAGTTCTATATCCAGAACAGCATTAAGACTGCTGACTGAGATGATCAAGCCTCACAAAATACTCCAGTCAGGACTTGATCATAATTCTAAATTTTTTTTAGATCCCCATAAGATTATCAGCACCCATAATCAACAGGAAATAGCCTTGAAAACTATGCCCACATTCCCAAAATTTGATTATATATGTTTGTCTTTGTTTAGAATGTTGGTTACTAGTTTTTATGGATAATGGTCAGGAGAAAAGCTAAACAAAGGAGATTTGATTCAGAGTTGTTGTTTAAAGAAAAGGGGGGGAGTGATATGGGACAATGACCTGTACCCTGTAACTTGTATTTTAAATAAATGCTGATTGGCCCGTAGCCAGGCAGGAAGTAGAGGCAGGGCAATGAGAACAGGAGAATTCTGGGAAGAGAAACAGTCAATCTGCCATTGTCACTCAGACACAGAGCAAGCAAGATATGAATGCCTTGCTGAAAATGGTACTAAGCCATGTGACTAACACAGACAAAATTATAGGCGACCATAAATTATAAGAGTTAATAAGAAGCTTGAGCTAAAAGGCTAATCAGTTTATAATTAACATAGGCCTCTGTGTTTTTATTTGGGACTGCAGGACTAGGCTGAACAGAAACATCAATCAGCATTTCTATCTCTATTTAGAAAAAGACAGGCCTACAATGAGAGTCAACAAAGTCTGGCACATCAAGTTAAGGCAGGACTAATCCTCCCCTGTATAAAGGCTGGGCAAGGCAACCCTAAATGGGGCATAGATTCCCAAAAGCCAGTTCAAGTTCCAGGGATTGGTCCTGATCTCACTACAATGAACCTCACAAACAGACCAAGCAACACAAAGTCACATACATGCAGAGAGTATGTGACTAGAATGCCTATGTCAGTCCATGAGGCCTCTTTAACTGTCATTCCAGAGTCCATGAACATCCATTAGCTAATGTCAGTTGTCTCTGTGGGTTCCCCAGTGAAGACATTAGCTTCCCCTGACTCCTACAATCCCTCTTTCTTCAGTTCAACAGAAATCCCAGAATTCAGGCCAATGCTTGGCTATGAATCTCTCTGATGACGATTAGGGCAGATACCAATCTGCAGGAGATGGCCTGATGTGGAATAATTTTTCTGTACACTGAAATATGTATTACTCTTATTTGTTTAATAAAGAACCCAACTGTCCAGGAGCTGAACAGGAGAGAAAAAGGTGAGAGAGCCATACTGAGAATGATGGATAGAAGTAGGGCAGAGTCAGGGCTACAAGGTAGACACTGAGGGAACAGGAAATAAATGTTTCATGCTAATAAAGGTAACTCCACATGACAGAGTGTAAGTAAGGAATATGGGCTAATTTAAAATATAGGAGTGAGTTAGTAACAAGCCTAAGCTATTAACCAAGCATTTATACTTAATGTTAAGGTTCAGAGTAGTTATTTGGTACTGAGCAGTCGGGACAGGAAATTCACTCTGTAGTTGCTAATTCAGGAATCCTCTGCACTTTTGCCAGAAGTCTTAGCTGGCTTTGTTCTTGTGGATTCTTGGGAGTTTCCCTGGCAACAGGGATCAACTTAACCCTGAAATGCCCTATCATTAAGACATCTTTTTCATTATTCTCCCCTCTGTCCCACCACTAACCTGCCCCCACCTGAAACTTTATATACTGATCCCCCTGATGCCCCATCCCATGACACCACTGTCCCCAAATTTCCCAGGATATCTCCTCTATTTCTCAGTCCCAAGGAAACCCATGCATGTTTTTTATCTAGCTTCTTTGTGGATATGCATTATGTAGCATGGTTATCCTTTACAGAGATTATTCACTTATGAGTGAGAATATACCATGTTTGTCTTTATGGATCTGAATTATTTCACTCAGGATGATTTTTCCTAGTTCCATCTGTTTGCCTTTAGATTTTATGATGTCATTATTTTTAACAGCTGAATAATACCCCATTGTGTAAATAAATATATAACATTTTCATTGGCTGCAGGGCATCTAGGTTGTTTCTAGATTCTAGATATTACAAATAATGCTGCTATGAGCACAGTTGAGCAGTGTCCTTGTGTTATGATTGAATGCGCTTTGGACATATCAACAAGATTGGTGTATAATGGTCTTAAGGTATATTGATGATCGTTTTCTGAGAAACCAACACACTGATTTAAAAAGTGACTGTACAACTTTGCAATCCTACCAGCAGTGGAAGAATGTTCCAGTGCTCCATATCTTCTCTAAAGAGGCTGTCAAAAGTTGTTTGGACCTTAGCCATTCTGACAGGTGTAAGATGGTATCTCAGTGTCGTTTTCATTTGCATATCCTTGATGGCAAAGAATGCTGAACAATTCTTAAGTTTATCTCAGACATTGGGGATTGTTCTGATAAGTATTCTTCTTTTAAATCTATACTCCATTTTTAAATAGATTATTTAATATTTTGATGTCTAGTTTTTCATATATTTCAAAGAACAGCATTCCATCAGCCATGAAGTTGATGAAAATCTTTTGCCATTCTGTAGGCTGCCGTTTGTTCTTTTGACAGTGTCTGTCACATTACATAAGCTTTTAAGTTTCAGGAGGTCCCATTTATTCATTTTCAATCTCAGTGTCTGTGTTACTGTTTTTCCACTCTGGCAGTTGTCCCCCACGAAGACAATGTGTTCAACAAAACTTTCCACTTTTTTTCTTTCAGCTTCAGTGTAACTGCATTTATGTTCTGGACTTTGATCTACTTGGACTTGTGTTTTGTACTGGTAGATAGATAAAGATCTATTTGCAGTCTTATATATGCAACCATCCATTTGTGTAAGCACTATTTGTTGAAGACACCTTCTTTTTCTATTATATAATTTTGGCTTCTTTGTCAAAAATAAGGTGTTCATTGCTGTGCAGAGTTACTTCTGGGTCTTTGATTGATTCCATTTGATCAGCCTATCTACTTTTATGCTAATATCATGTGGTTTTATTACTATAATCTATACTATAGTCAAAGTCAGGGATGGTGATCCCTCAGGAAGTTCCTTTATTTAGTGTGTGAGAATAGTCTGTATTCTGTCAATCACATTTTAAATAAACGCCGATTGGCCAGGAAGGAAGTATAGGCAGGTTAACAAGACAGGAAGTAGAGGCAGGGCAATGAGAAGAGGAGAATTCTAGGAATTCTCTCAGTTCTTC